CCTCTCATGCCCTGGCCCCTGTTTAACTATGACAAGTACTCAAGGGGCCTTATCTCATGTTGCAGAGGGAACGGCTGGAGGTCTGAGCCCACGAATGCTGCCCCCCCCCATAGCCACAGGCCCTGCAAACAGCAAGGCTCGCTGCAGAGGCCAGGCTCTTGCAAGGCCATGCGGAGAACGGCAGGCCCTGCAAACACATCTGGCCACGTCTGCCGGGGCTGCGAGCAGCGCACAGCTCTGCCTGCTGGCTCTCCAGGGTGCAGTGGCCAGCTGGGATTCTTGCCCAGCCCCTCCTCACACAGATATCTGTGCCCTGAAGCTCCCCGCCCAGTCTGTTGTAACCCAAGGATTCCTCCAGAGCCTGTGGGCCGGAGGTGGAGCTGGCTTTTGCACCCCATGCCCCCTCCGCCTGACCCCCGGCTGTTTAAGCAGCCCCTGCTCACCTGGGGGCCCCTCCCTCCTCCTTCCTGCTCAGCCCCTGCCTGGAGGACAAAGGGCCAGCAAAGTGCTCAGGACAGCCCAGCCACAGGTGATGTCCTGAGGAGGCGATGTCCTTCTCTCCTCCTGCCTCTGCACCTGGCTGTGTCCATGCAGCGTGGCCTCCCACTGTCCACGCACCGGCCCAGCCTGCAGGCCCGGGGGGCCCAGCAAGTCCCCCACCAGTCCTCACGCCCCAGCTCCACAGGACACTCTCGTGTGCCCTGGGGACCTTGGAACCTGGGTGGCAGCTCTGCTCCCAAGCACGTCTCACACTGGGGGCTCTCAGGAGGCCAGGGCGGCGCAGCTGGGCTTGCTGGGCACTCACCTGGATGAAGGTGCTGAGGGTGGCGTTGGTGGGGTTGTGAGTGATGAGGAAACGCATGTGCTTGTAGCTCACCTCCACGGGGGCGGGCCGGTTCATCCGCGCCATGGCTCCTCCCGAAGCCAGGCGGCGCCCAGGAAGGGGCTGCGGGCAGGGCCGGGGACACGGAGGAGAGGCCTCACCAGCCCCCCAAAACCCAAGGAGAACAAAATCCCTGTGCTTGTCCGAGAGAGGAAATGCTTTTTTAAAAAACCTGCCCCCCAAAACCCCGCACAAATATTGTGCAAATACTTGGAGGGGGGAGGATGCTGCCCGGAATGCGGGTAATTAAAAAGGAAAACCCAAGGCTTTAAAAAACAAAAGAAACAAAATCGCCCCCCAAAAGTAAGACCAGTCCAAGCTCCTGCCTCTCAGAGCTGGACAATTACAAGGGGGCAAAAGGGAAAAACAACCACAACCCAGCAAAGAAACCTTAAAAAGCCCGAAGTGAATCCGGCCGCCGTGGCCGTGTCCAGCGCTGAGCCTGTCGCCGGGGACGCCGTCTCTGCATCGGGGGACGGGGAAACGGCCGCCTTCACTCAAAGGCAGGCCCCAAATCGCCAAGGACCAAAAGAAAAACGAACTTGAACTGAACCAACAGGGCAGCCTTGGGGTGGTGGGGTCACAGGCGGCGGTGGCCGTGGTGGGCAGGTGGGCGGCTCTGAGCGGGGCCTTTGTCACGTTACCCCATTGGGGTACAGCGAGTCCTGGA